TTTTTTTCTTTTTTTTTTTTTTTTTTTTTTTTTTTTTCGCGTTCACTAGAGAAACTAGAGAAACTACATATATACGCGCGTCCACGCTGTACGAATCGCGTACTACGACGCAGGGATGAATGAACTGCTCTCGAGTGTCGGGGTGTAAATGAACCAGTGCCGCTGCGTGGGCGTGAATGACAAATGTTTAGAACACCGCGGAGAGATCGGTTTCGAATAAACGTGATATATCCTCGCTGAAAACACAATAAATACTCTTTTCGAATATAGTCGTTATAGGATTATCTGCAATTCCAATTGTTTTACAAATATCCTCGTGATATCTCGAAAAGATACAATTTCTCCTTAAAACGAGCATACACCTTTTCCCCTCTTTGTACGCTTGTATATCAGTCTGAATTTTTGGAAACTGATACTCTTGCTATTCTTGTGATCCTTCACGGAATTCAAACTGTCCGATTATTCATGAAACGATCCCCCTCAACAAGCTTACCGCGTGTTCATGGATCTCTTTTACCATCGCGTTTAACGACGTTCAACGAGATTACTCAACCATAATACGATACAATCATAAATTTGATAATTACTACCTGTCACTGTCGATACCGATCGAAACGACCGATTCCGTTGTTCACGCGTGTAAGCCGAACATCGACGCGTGTGTGCAGAAATTCCCATGGTCGTTGAAACCATGTTCTCGCGAGACGAACTTCGATCGATGGGGGAAGGAGTATTCGAGAGGGGAAAGGCGTGGTTGTCGGTGCGTTGGAAAATTGAAATCCACTCGATTAATATCCCCCTGTGCGAATAGTCCGTCGAATCATAGTAGAAAGCAGGAAGGGGAGGGGAGGGATAACTTCCTCGAAGGTAAATTAGACGCGAAGAATCGAGCGACCGAACTTCCACCCCCTTCTCTGCACCGTCATCCCTCGAAGCAAACTTTTTCGAGAGTTAGGGTCCGCCGTTTATCGCGTTCTCGGTGCCCGACGTGGACGAAACGCCTCGCCCGTGAATAGTTTATGGATCCCCCGCGGGAGGAAGGTGGGGGTGGTAGACGCGCGAAAAACTTTCGGTAAACACGGATTCACGGGGGGGGGAGGTGGGCAGAACAGGAAGGTGGGTGACTCGAGGAGATCGCCACGCGTTTATCGATATCTAGGTTCCCGTGACGAGGGCAGAGAGACGGGGATATGTAAACCCCTATTATCAACGTAGTGCTTATACTGCATTAACCAGGATAACCGATCCAAGTTTCATTTAACTTCATTTGTGGTACTCTCAAATGGTGGGTTCTCACTGAGAATTTAATGAGGGAGCTTTTATAGTCGACGCTCGCACGGTTATATGGAGTATAAATGTTTATATTTATCGCCACGTCACTACGAATAAACTAACCATTCTTCTTTTGGTTTTCGTTGCTTTTTCTTTTTTACTTTCGTTCGCGGCAACCTTCGGCGTTGAACTACCCTTTTTTTTTTTTTTTTTTTTTTTTTTTTTTTTTTTTTTTTTTGTTTACTTTTGTCCGACCGATCGAAACCCCGCGACTACCCCCGCGGCGTTCGATGTTTTGAAAACACGTGGGGGACTCGCTGACGCGGTTCGTTGCCCGACACCGAAAACCACTTTTTCCCCCGACGTGGTGGCGCTCAACGAGCCGAATCAAGATGTTCAGTGACATTCTTGTGTAACTTTTCAAGATACCGATGTGAAACTTTGACTGAATAATGTAGGGATGTTAGGTTACGGGTAGATTGAAGAAGAAAAAAAATTGTAACAGTACATTTATTGGACTTAAAAGATATTGTTGTCAAAGATAACAAATCTTGACAATTTCCTTCATTTCATTGTTTATTAATTTTTCGTTGCCGGTGTTAATTCTTAACGCAAAAGAATGTTCTTTATTTCCGAAAAAGACCGGAGAGAAAATACTAAATATGATCGTCAGGGCATCTCGATGGAAAGAAGACCAGTTTTAATTAAAATTTAGTTCAACCCTAATACCAATAAAAATTTGTATTATATTTAATTATATCCTTCATTTACAAAGTCGTTAGACATTTAAGAAGTAAAATATAAACACAGTAGGTATCGATACGAGAGAATTGATTTTTTCGTGAAAATGTCACTGAAAAATCTTCGATACGGCCCACTGTCCTGTTCCGACCGATTCACCGACGGTGGGCGAGAACAACGAGAAGGGAAGAACGTCACGGATGACACCTTGGGCTTCGCGTGGCCACACGTCTGCGGCCACGTGGCTCGCAGTCATGGGTGTTGCGCGCCGCTCCGCGAGGCGAGGCGAGGCGCGGCGATCTATAGTTCTGTTCCGTAGTTCAGTTAACTCTAACTTTAACAATAAGGGTAATGGAGCCGAGACCGACGATAGATGCGGTAATGCCGTACGATGAGCGTTTACTGCCGTGCGTTACGGTGTGCTGCCTCGTGTTTGCGCCACGGTAACAGCTCGCCCGCCGCGCCACCGTTTAAATTAACGAGCCGTTGGCTGTTGCGAGACCCCCGTATTGTCGTCGTCGCTTTTCCCTCGATCTCCACCCCTTCTCGCTGATCGACGGACACTTGCGTTCCAAGGGGAAGGGATGGGGGGAGATGGTAGACTGCGTTGATAACTGAGAGAACAAGTATCGGTTCGCCAGTGTTTCCTTAGCTTACCTCTAGGTAACCCCGTAGCCCGTGGGAGGGGTTGTTCAGTGATTCTCTTCGTCGCGATTACAAACACGTAACAGCTAAACGGAACAATTTGAACGAATGCAAGACCACCGACGAGGTATAAGAGTAGACTATTTATCGAATGTATTTCTTTAGCCCACTTTTCTGAGGCGATGTTGCCCCATTTCTATTTTAGTGTCACTACCCACTGTAGATTCACCGTTCTCATAATGTAGAGGTCACTAATATTCACAGGGGTTTTCGAGGTATTTTAAGGTGTCGTTACTATAATTTAGGTGCGCCACCAACTCCCATAGGATGAAAAGGGTATTCTTAAACCTTGTGGCAAGACGCACCCGATCTTGTCTGATCACGAACCGGTCTAATCTACTGCGGTGGGCGCGCTGTAGTCTTCCTGGTCGAGAACCGAAGTTTCTACCAATTCCACGTCGTTCCACGTGTTCCTCCAAGTTGTTACTATTGTTTTCTTTATGTTCAATGATGAATATAGGCTTTATTTAACGAATTCTTAAGTGTTTGTACCGCTACGATAAAGCGCGTATAATTCTCTTGATTTAATCATTTGTATATGAACGATCTAGTTCATCTGTGTAAAGATGGTAATATTATTAGTCCCAGTTCTTAAACATTAAACTAAGAAACTAACTGCCTAATTAACTTCTTCCTTAACTAGGTTATTATTAGAACCTAGTAACTGTCTAAAGATAGTAGCATTATTATTTCTGGACGTCAGCTTTATACTTACTGCACATCGTTTCATTCCAACCTATCCTCGTCCCATTTAATAAACTTGTCAGAGATTAGTCGTTTCATGAATTCGAACAGATTGCTCGCTAATGAAACGTCGCACGTGACTGACAGAAGGAGGGTGGACAATCACACACTGGTGCCAAATACCTGTTACAATCGTTATATTTCCGTCAACGTTGCGATAAAGTCAAGCTATCAGCTCCGAGTGATTAGCAGAGTGTACAAAATCAGAAAAGTCAATGCTAACGAAACTTAACTACCGTATTAGACGGCTTGGACCAACACGACCAATTTCAGGATCTTCGACCAAGATGACGCTATAGCATCGAAACCGAAGCGATCGATGATATATGAATTCGTGATCGACAACAAAAGCATTATATCGACAGGAGGAAAGGGGGGAGGGGGTTCGTAACGCGCCCCTGCGTGATACTTTAACGTTAATGTCGCCGTCTCTATAGATAGCCAGTGAACACGTCATTCTTTTTGAAGAAACTAAAGAAACTATAAACCACCGCCCCCTCCCCCCCCCCCTCTCCTGGTTATCGATCCGTTCGGTCCGCCGCGGCGGGAGAAACTTTTTGTTCCATATTTTTTTCTTTTTTTATTTTTCGTCCACACACAAGCTACGAAAAATATATTAACGCGTGTGTAACCACGTTCCCGATCGAAAGATCTTTTCGAGCAACGATGGTCACCGTGTCCCGTGACCCGTCTCAGCGTCGAATAACCGAAAGATCGATTCCGCGTCCAGACGAGAACAAACGTGGCGCGACACCGATCTTTTCTTTGCTTTCGTGTGTTGTTCGCGGTGACATCGACGACCAGTCGTAAATTCGCGGGCCACCGAGGAAAATCGAATTCCCCCGGAATCCAGCGTACAATCGCGTGTTCGTTGCCCCTTCCCTCCTACCATGGTGACGAGAATCCGCGATTATACGATCGTTCTGGGTTGACGGGAAAAATGTTTAACAGTTCGTCGGCGGGAATCACGAACCGAACGGAACAACCTCGAGCCGCGTTAACGATTCTTCTAATGACGCGCTCAACGCTCGTGGAATTGTCGTTGGAAACAATTTTATGACCTGTCACCGATGGATTTCGATTGCGAGCTCCGCGATTTCACGACGCGCTTGCTTTTCATTTAATCGCGGGGGATGGGCCACGTGGGTCTGGGATTCGTGCGATCGAATTGTTTTGGATCCTGTCTAATCTGATAGATCCAGGGGACACTGCATAGTTTCGAGGTTTAATATTATTATTATTATTTATTTAACGGGGAATAAACATTTTGGTGTACCCACGCGAACAAGCTTGACTTCCAGTAGGGGAAAAAAGTGGCGTGGGGAAAGGACCTCATATCGCTGGATAAATTTAATTCAAGTACGAAAATAAATGTTAAATTGATAATTTGGCATAAATTTCAATA